TCCATGTGTCTTCTTAGATATTTAGAAAAAAGAAAACTTCAGCCATCAAGCATTGAAGAGATCTATAGTCCTACCAACCCAACATATTAGTGAAGTGCCGAAAATGTCAGTCACCAGGTAACAGAAACTTTAAGAGCATGTTCTCTATGCCTCCACAGACTCAACGGGACTCATGGGGGATTTGATTGTGAGTTATAATCAAAGGATTAGAAGAAAAGTGGTTTGACGCGATTTGGGGGCTTAGGGGATAATGATTTTATGAATCAGCTATGATTTCTCTCAAAGAAAAATATACTGCATTTCCACTACAGTGTAGATGTATTTATATCCACCACACCTAAATGTCATTTTCCTCCAGGATCAGTTATAAAATGAGCTACTGTTTAGCTCCCACCCTGAACAGTTTTTTACTAGGAAAAAGAAATTGTTAATTTTAAAAGAAAAAAAAAAATTAGAGAAGGCGTGGAAGAAAACTAGAGCTGGAGACATCTGATCTTAAGGTCTCTTACTTGAGAGGTAACACTCTCACACTGGGGGGATGTTTTGAATGCAATTCTCAAACACTAATATAAGCAACAAAAGAACCCAAATGCCTTTCTTCATAGAGTTAACAGGATAATGGATGATAATTTCCAGAGGGATAAGAGCTATGTAAAGAGCTATTTAAAAATAAAAAATAAAAAACAAACGGAGGCTAATAGAATAGAGACACTTTGGCTACCCTAGTCTAGGAGGTTAAGGATGGGTTCTCCAAGCAGGTAAGAATGAAATTAAATCTGAATCATTAGAAACACTCAGCCATGTGAAGATGTAAGAGGAAGGTGGGCCAGGTGTGAGAAGAGCAAGTGCAAAGGCCCTGTGGGAGAAACAACACACACACACAACCAGTGTGGCTGAAATATGCAGAGAAAGGGGAGACGTGTATAAGATAAGATTGCAGAGGTGTGTCAGGTTCTGCTTGCTCACTCCTAGAACCGAGAACCTAGAACCATGCTTGGTATTGAATAAATTTCTGTCAAATGAATGAATGAAGTTAAAATTTAAGTAAAAGAGTCTCAAAATTCCTTCAGGGCAGAGACTAGAACATGTAAGTGCTTTGCTGGTCAGGGTTCCAGGAGTTTGGATTTTATTCTAATCACAAGGGAAAGTCATCAAAGGCTGTTAAACATAGGAATTAGATGATCTGGTAAATGCTTTGAAAACATCATTCTTGCTACTGTATGGAGAATGGACTATAGATATGCTGAATGTTTTCCATTGCTCTTGTAGATCCACTCTACCTTCCCCACCTGTGTCTCAGGAGGCTGACCATATAGACTCTACCTTCTGGCTTCTAATTGTGATCAACCAATGGCATTTTCAGCAGGCTATCAGGAGAGAGGCTGTCTTCAGACTGAGTACACCATCCATATCCCACTAGGACCTAACTGAGAAAACTAGAGATTGGTTAGGAAGCTTTGTAGTAGTCTAAGCAAGAGATGATGATATCTTAATTTCTTATTTGTTGTGGAGGTAAATCTTATTGATTTTGAGGAACATCTGAAAGTATTTGCTCATGAATTGACTTTCAGGGAAGCGGTGGTGAGAAAAAGGAAACTCTCAAGACATTTCCTACATTTCTGTCTTGCTTATGGTACCATCAAATAGATGGGAAAGACTGAGAGGAGAGCAGATCTGGGGCAAGGATGGAAGGGCAAGCTCAAAAGTTCCATTTTGGACATATTTGGGTCAAGATGCCTGTTTGTATTTAAGTGGACATGTTGAGTAGGCGGAGGGGAGAAGTTGGAGCTTGAGATTCAAATTTTTGACTCGCCAGCATAAACTTTGTTTTTTCCAGACTGTTACAATTTGAGCAAAATTACATTAAGTTCGTGGAAAAATTTTAATAATTCATAGAATGGAAAGAATTGAGAAGCATGGTTAGTTGTATAATTATAAAGGAGTCCCAAAGAAGGGCTGAATGCTGAAGGTCATAATTAATACGATGATAGAAGAACTGGGTGGTTGGAAGTGAAGATTCAATAAAAATAAGGGGAGGCTGAACCTCAGAAGTCATGCAGGAGACTACGAAAACAAATATAAACCCTTCGCTGTCTGTCTAACAAGAAGGCATATTTTAAGTCAATGGAACTCTTACCCACTAATTGAATTTCCCCCAACCACCAACTTCAATTCCACAAATATTTATTGAGGATTTACATTCATAGAAAACACTGTGTTAGGCAGTGTGGGTACAAAATGCATTGCAGAAGTAAAATGCTTTGAGATTTTGTTGAACTGCTATTAAACGAGAACTAAAATTAAGGTTTGCTTCTGCCATCAGTGAAAAGGCCAGGGAACCATTGAAATCAGTCAGAGAGGCTAAAGACCTGGCCCACTCATGGCTTGAGTCATTAGCTCTGAGGCTCTAGATGTGTCCTTAATAATAAACATCGGGGTGCATGTGCCCCTTCGGATCACTACATTTGTATTTTTGGGGTAAATACCCAGTAGTGCAATTGCTGGGTCATAGGGTCTACTTTCAACTTCTTTTTTTTTAAGATTTTATTTATTTGACAGAGACACAGCAAGAGAGGGAACACAAGCAGGGGGAATGGGAGAGGGAGAAGCAGGCTTCCTGCCTAGCAGGAAGCCCAACTCGGGGCTTGATCCCAGGACCCTGGGATCATGACCTGAGCTGAAGGCAGACGCTTAACCGACTGAGCCACCCAGGCGCCCCTACTTCCAACTTTTTGAGGAACCTCCATGCTGTTTTCCAGAGTGGCTGCACCAGCTTGCATTCCCATCAGTGGTGTAGGTGCGTTCCCCTTTCTCCACATCCTCACCAGCATCTGTCATTTCCTGACTAGTTAATTTTAGCCATTCTGACTGGTGTGAGGTGATATCTCATTGTGGTTTTCATTTGTATTTCCCTGATGCGGAGTCATGTGGAGCCCTTTTTCATGTGTCTGTTGGCCATTTGGATACAAATTTTTTACATTTTAAATCCAAATAAAGGTGCCTCACCACTGGTTTGAATGGTCGGAAGGCTCTAGGATTAAAAGCCCTAAGTAGACGAAGTTGACAGCTTTTTTAACTTCATCATCTAGTAGTTCTGTGACCTCAAGCCAGTCACAATGGCAGACAGAGGGCAGGTTTGCATGAGCAGCATCCAAATAACTACCAGTTCTAACAGAGGCTTTCCTGGGTTGTACGGCGACCCCATGTTTATTTTATTCCCATTGGAAATGGTGGAGGGGTGGGGAGATGGTTCATTTGGAGAGATGGTTCTCAATCCTGGTTGTACAGAATTACTTGGGAGATTTGTTATTTTTTAATTTAAAAATCCGATGCATGGGACCCACCTCCCAGAGTTTCTGATTTAATGGTTCTGAGATGGGATCCCTCTAGGCTTCAGTACTTTTGAAAAGCTCCCAAGTGATTTTAAAGTGCATCCTGGGTTGGGACCACTAAGAGAGGGTGACAGCTGGACCACAGCACCATTCTGACTATATTCAGTGTATTACCAGCCTAACCTTGACTGTGAGCACAAATCCCACTTGCATTTCCAAGTACAGTTTACTGAACACAGACACCCCACTACAGTGTGCTCGCGTGCGCACACACACACACACACGCACACACACGTTCTGAGAGGCCAGTGCTGCAGCAGGAGCTGCTTCTTGAGCAAAAACCCTCAGGTTTGTTTTCCCAGGCCAACCTCCCAGGGAGCCCAAGGGCAGCAAGTGGAAGCAAAAGGAGTATTCTGGAAGAAAGCAGAGTATTCCCTAGAATGTTGCCAGTAAAGCATCCCCAGCACAGAGCAGTCCTCACTTACTGATCTAAAAAAAAACAAAAAAACAAAAAAACAAAAAAAAATAACAACAAAAAAAAAACAAATAACAAAAATAACTAAAAATGACAGAAAACCCAAAGTCACAATGGCTTAAATAAGGGAAAAAAGTATTGCCCCCTCATATAAGCCCAGACCATCCAGGGTCCGTGTGGTGACGTCACAATCAGGAAGCTAGGCTGCTTCCATCTGTTTGCCTATCATTGTCCAAGGCGGGAGGTTAAATTTTAGGCCTCATGTTCACCTTCCAGCCAACAAGAAGGAGAACAGGAAGGGGGAAATGTTACCCTCATTTTAGGGTCATCTCCCTGAAAGTGCACACCACCCTGCCATGAATATCTCATTGGCCAGCCCCAAAGGGCCGAGTGCACCTTCACGGGACATCGACAAATATAGTCTGTATGCTGGGAAGTCATGTGCCCAGCTAGAAATTGGGGGCTCCTTTGTTACTGCAAGGGAGTGGCCTACTGGGACAAGAGCCAACAGTCTGGGCCTGAGAGCACCCCCCTTTCCCCTCATGTGGCGGGACTGTAACTATTAAGTTACATGTAAACAACGTATTTGACTGGGGTCCCACTGAAATCCACTGACATAAGACTATTTTCCTGTATCCTGAATTCCAATGGCTCTTGCTCCCTCCCATTGCCCTGAGAAATCACCAGTCCTGCAAGAAGAGTGTTCCAGGGGGGGTCCTTCAGGAAACCAGGGTAGAATGGATGTTTACACTTAGAGAGAAAGGCCTGCCTTCCGTGCAGATTAATTCTTGCAGATTTACACCGATGGCAGGAGATCTCTCCTATTCCTTCTGGAAGCTGCACAGATTACTTTCACTGGGTTGTAAATACGTTTAACACTCTATTATACTAACCCTTTAGACCAGTTGTCTTGGGGGGCTGCAAATCATAGTTGAGGGACAACTTTTTATGATTCAAAGGCCCTGGAAATACCTGGATGCTCTAGTGAAATACTTGAAATTAAGACTGGAAGGAGTAGATCTTGCTGCAAAATTCATTTCAAGGAAAGGAAGCAAATCCTTGGGGTCGGTTCTTGGTTTATCTTCTTCTGTTGTTTTGTCCCACTCTTTACACAGCCAAGGCTAAGGTAAGGATTGGCTGTCGTCACACATACCACTGTCCTAGGTTCAGCTGATTTTCTCTTCCTTCCCCAGTGTTCCAGGACCTGTGGAGGGGGCATCCAGAAGCGTGAGGTTCTTTGCAAACAGCGCATGGCTGATGGCAGCTTCCTGGAGCTTCCTGAGACCTTCTGTTCAACCTCGAAACTGGCCTCCCAGCAGGCCTGCAAGAAAGACGACTGTCCCAGCGAGTGGCTCCTCTCTGACTGGACAGAGGTAGGTATGCTCCTCAGAAGGAGAGGATGAAAGACACCAAAGGAAGGAAAGAAGGCACCACAAACTCACACAAACAGAAGATGAGAACAGAACGAGACAATCCACCTAACATGATGGAGAGGTATCGTGTAACCAGTTAGACCACAGTGTGTCTAACCGCTTTTAACTAGGCCGCAGGGACCTGAGGTAAGTTGCCAGGCCTTACATAACAATCAGAAGCATGGAGTTGTAAACCGGCTCCTCGTGGAACAAAAGCAGGCCTTGTTTGGCTCAGAATATTTTTCAGAAGACCCCGTTATTCTACCTTTATCCGCGCACCCACCTTCCCGACCTCCCGGCACCTCCTCCCCCCAGATGTTTTTAGTCTCTTTTCAGGAAAGGCAAAGCCTCTCTGATTATTCCCTTCCAAGTTACTGGACAATAAGGAACATGATTTATTAAGAAAAGAAGGCCAGGGAAATTCTGCATCTTTACTGTCCGTTTCTTGGCTGCAAGATGTTAACAACTTCCCAGCAAGAGAACTTGATTTCCCCTGTTGTTTGCATCTGGGGGGATGATTACGTCAGCTTCCACCATTCCTGATTTGCCTCGTAAGTTAGGGATATACCCCCAACTGACCTACTTTTCTAAATAATTCCTATTCGAACACTAGCATAAATTAAGTCATTTACACCCAGCTTTAACTTGTTTTCAGCCCCTATACTCCTGCTGGGAATTGCCTACAGCTCCCCCAGCTTTGTAGGCATGTGTGTCTCCCAGAAGGAAGCACCCCCAAAAGTATTGCCTCCTAAGCCGATTTAGCCCAGGACAGAATTGCCAGGCCTGAAGTGAAAAATCTTTGTGTCAAAAACAAATTCAAGACCCTGCCCTCTCTTGCACTGAACCGTTTGGACTGGGCTTGCTGATCCCATTCCCTTCTTCGTATGGTTGTATGTGCATGTGTGCTGTATGTATACAATGGCATGGGGCTGCTGTGGATCGAAACCTTCACAGGGACTCTTGTTTCCACAGGGGGCCAAGCTGCCCCTGAAAATTAAAATGCCACCTTTTCCAACCTGGGTTCTTAGAATTCTTGCCCCTTATCTTATCAACTCATACAGAGTTCACTCAGATGGTGTCTACTAAGGGCATTGCAAGGGTGAGTTAACCTACATCACAATAGGTTTTGTAATATGGCAGTAAAAGTGCCTTCTGGTGGTGTCTCACCCCAAATGTCTCAGAACGGAAGTAGGTATGATTATTTTTCTTAAATTTTAGAAATAATTTTCTTTCAGCACAATAAGGGATTAAAGCATGTAAAATCAGCATGTTTGTGTGTGCATGCACATGTGTGCATGAACATGTTAGTGTTAGTTTTTCCGTGGAATATTGATTTGAGGTATGGTACTATATAGGAAAAATCGTAACAAAACTAACAGTGCAGGAGAGTGCACTGGTGTAGTTGCCAAGTGAGTGACTCTGGAGGAAGACTTCCTCCCAGGGCCATATTTTAAAACGTGTCCTTCCACTAAGTCTTTTGGTGATGCTTACCATGAGTGAGATGCTGAGGAAGGGACTTGTGGGTATTATAATTGTACTCCCCTGTTCCTGGAGTTTGTGGCCTCTGAGCACATGGGACACAGAGAATTCAGGCCTAAAATTCTTTTAGTCCTGTAGATTTGAAGCAGGGACACTTGTGATTAGGCACTAAGAAAAGGAGACTGCCAAATTGAGGTCCTCTGGGGCCCATTAAGTATCACAGACCTTTAGAACAGTGTCATGTGTGCTTAGGAGTTAGACTCACAGGAGCGCCTGGGTGGCTCAGTCGGTTAGGCATCCGACTCTTGACTTTGGCTCAGGTTGTGCTCAGGGTCACGAGGGTCATGAGATGGAGCCCCACATTGAGCTCTGCACTGGGCGTGGAATCTGCTGAAGATTCTCCCTCCCTCTCCCTCTGCCCCTCCCCCATCGCTTGTGCACGCTCACGCTCTCTTGCTCTCTCTCTCAAAAAAAGATTACAAAAGGAGTTAAGCAAACTTAGATTCCAATCCTGACTCTGCCACTTACTGGCTCTCTAACCTCAGGCTCACTATTTAACCTTTCTAGGCCTCAGTTTGTGTATGTGAATACTGGAGATAATAATGTCTGCTCATGTCATTCTTGGGAGGCTTCAGTTAAACGAGGTATGTAAACTACCTCGTGTCTAGTAAAAGTGAGCCCTGTTATTGTTATGATTCTCTTCCACCCCTGCTCATTGTCAGGAGGAGAGGAAATAAAAGACACTTCCCTTGACCAGCTGGACCCAGAGTCATGGCCCAGGCTTCCCGCAGGCTTTATCATTCTTCCTGGGAAGAGGAAATTACACTTCGGGAAGTAGGACAGTTTTAGCCCTTCTCCGTGGAATATTCTTTTTTTTTTTTTTTAAAGATTTTATTTATTTATTTGACAGAGAGAGATCACAAGTAGGCAGAGAGGCAGGCAGAGAGAGAGAGAGAGAGAGGGAAGCAGGCTCCCCGCTGAGCAGAGAGCCCGATGCGGGACTCGATCCCAGGACCCCGAGATCATGACCCGAGCCGAAGGCAGTGGCCTAACCCACTGAGCCACCCAGGCGCCTCTCCGTGGAATATTCTTAAGTGCTGGGTTAACTGGGTTGATGAATGGAAATTCCAAACATTGGGGAGGGGCTAGGAATGGTACAAGTAGGAAGTAATCACCAATTCACTGGGATTTAACTCAAGCTGGTGCCATACAAATGAGCTCTGGGGGGTGTTCATGGAGTCTCCCATTGGCCCTGTCATCCCAACAGCCCTTGCCTTGGCCCTCTCACTGAGATGAAACACACATTCCACATCCCCCACCCCCAAGGCTCCCCTTGGAGAAAGGAAGACCTGGATGATCTATGGGTGTTTTTCATCCTCAACTATCTGGGCTCAATCTTACAGTTACTGCACAGAATCCCCCAGAGACAGAATTAAGCCAAAATTTTAGACACTTCAAATAAAATTACTTTCAGATTCTATTTTGAGACTAAAGTTCTTCTTTAAAAGAATTCCTTGCATCTTTTGAAATAGTTGGCTATTACATATTTTTCAATCATACTTTTATAAAAGTCATTTCTCCCAAAAAATATAAAAGAAATTAACGTCAGAGTAGTCAGTTTTAGAGATAGAAGGAACTTAGAAGATCCTATAACCTGGTTGTTCTTTTAAAAATTAAAGCCACCATCGAGTCCTGCACCGGGCTCTCTACTCAGCGGGGAGCCTGCTTCCTCCTCTCTCTCTCTCTCTGCCTGCCTCTCTGCCTACTTGTGATTTCTCTCTGTCAAATAAACAAATAAAATCTTTTTAAAAAAAAATTAAAGCCACCAGACCCTTTTTTTTCTAATGAAATGTTTCTATGAAGCCAAGAATCTAAAACAGATAAAATCAGAGCTGCTTTGGTTGAAGTGTGGGTTAGGATCCCGGATCTCCAAGGGTTAGATCTCCAGACCAACTGAAAAGCCCCTGAATCATTTCCTCTACACAGAACAGGGTTTAAAAATACCTACTCTTACTTAGTTTTATTTTAGAGATAGGGAAATCAAGCCTCAAGAAAGAACTAGACTTGACCAAAATCATAAACTGATCTTGAGACACATGGTCTATTTTTCTGGTTGGTAGTACTGAACTTACCATGCTTTTTTTTTTTTTTTTTAAGATTTTATTTATTATTTGACAGAGAGACAGCAGGAGAGGGAACAGAAGCAGGGAGAGTAGGAGATGGAGAAGCAGGCTACCTGCTGAGCAGGGAGCCCAAAGCAGCACTCCATCCCAGAACCTTGGGATCATGATCTGAGCCGAAGGCAGACACCTAATGACTGAGCCACCCGGATGCTCTGACGCTTTTCAATTTTCAAGGCTCTTTGCCTCCATCCCACCTGATCCTGGGATTTGGTACTGGCATTTACAATCAAATAAGGGGTGGGTGGAATCTGGAATCCACAATCATTAGGAAACAAAAGCAGTGGGTTTCTTACCTCCATTTTTTGCATCTAAAATATCTTTCAGGGTGCTGTGTATCAGAGCTTAGTTCATGTCAGTGGGTTAGCATATAAAACTTGAAAATGTAATATTTTTGGTTTTAGTGTCATTTTTCAAGTTAACGTGGCACCCTGCCATGACCCCAGTTCAGGTCTTTATCATCTCGAGCCTGGACTACCGTGGCAGCCTCCTTAACTGACATCCCTGCCTGCCATACATCTCCTACTCCCTTCTCTCCCGGACACCGTTGCCAGATTAACCTTCTCAAAACACCTCTTTCATCATTTCACTCCTCCCTCCAATGGCTCCTCACTGCCTTGTGGACCAATTCCAAGCCTCCTGTCTGAAAATTAAAAGTCTCCAACATCTGGCCCCAAACTACTTCATGAGCTCCTGACACTCTCCAATTGTTCCCTCTCTTCAGTCCAACTGGTTTAGCTCTGCCCCCCCCAAGCCTGCCTTGGATTTTTGCACTGAACCCTTCGAACTTCATTCTGGATATTCCCCTGCCTCCAATGATTATCCCCAGTTTCTCCACACATGCAGACTACCCATCTTCAAAACCTAGGTCAGGAAATCACTAGAGCACCGTCAGCATTCAACCATCGTTAGAATGAATCTTGTAATACTCGTCTTGTACTTTTATATTTCTACTAAATTTTTGTATTACTATCTAATTTTTTGAACCACTTTATTAAGGTGTAAATAACATACTATTAAACTCCACTTCATATGATGATTTCAAGGTTTATCTGTTTACCACATATCCACAAGAACAACATTCCTTTTATGGTAGAATAACATTCCCATATATAGATAGACCATATTTTTGTTTATCCATTCACCAGCAGACATTTGAGTGGTTCCCACTTTTTTGTCTCTGCTGAACATTCACATACAGTCTTTGGATGGATGTTTGCACTTCTCTCCAGGAGATACCCTACAAGTGAAATTTCTCGGTCATGGGGTAAATTTATGTTTATGTTTGTAAGAAACTATCAGGCTGTTTCCAAGAGGGCTATACTATTTTATGTTGCCACCAGCAATATAGGAGTGTTCTAATTTCTCACATTTACATTTATAATAACATTTGTTACTGTCTGTCTCTTTTTATTATGGCCATTCCAGGGAATATGAAGTGGTATCTTGTTGTAGTTTTGATTTCTCTCTCTCTCATGCGCTATTTCAGTTTAACAATGCATTTGGATTTCCCCCCCACTCATTATGAGATGACAGCTCCTTGAGGTTACAAACCACCTTGCACAATTTTTTTCCATAGTATTAGCACCTACCTCAGCCAAAGTAAATGTAGAACAGTTATCTGATGCTTGACATTAAAGTATTACATTTGTGAAGGAAGGAGGAAAAAATTCGCGACTGCCACCGCTGTGGGTGAAGTTTCAAATATATTATCTCATTTAATTCCCAACCTTGCAAGCTAAGTGTAAGAAGTGGAAACAGACTCTGAGTTGCCAACTGGTAAATTACTAAGCTGGGATTGCAACAGACTCTATGACTCTGTAACTCTAAAGCCCAGGCCACATAAATAAAAAACAGAGTTTCTACAGGAAACTTTTGAGTAGAAAAATCTTAGAATGTGTTTACAATATGGACATTTAGGTCTTCCCACCATGCTACATAATTAATAGTGACTGTTGCTTTCCCAGGCAACTTTTCTCACATTCTCGTGAGTTTGGGAGTCCATACCAGAACCCAGTAGCCTCCAGTTCCCCGCATTTACATGCAGGTGGTCCTTCTTTCCTCCCTTTCCTCCCCAGTGTTCCACGAGCTGTGGTGAAGGCACGCAGACTCGAAGCGCCATTTGCCGGAAGGTGCTGAAAACCGGGCTTTCAGCTATCGTCAATTCCTCCCTGTGCCCTCCCCTGCCCTTCTCTTCAGCCATCAGGCCCTGCATGCTGGCCACCTGTGCACGTGAGTATGTCAGAGCTCTGGGGATGGGGGGAGACCAGACCCACCCAGAAGCAATTGTGGCCACGCAGTAGCCTTCCCTAAACCCGAGACTGGTGGGAGATCATCAGGCAGGAGAGCCCAAGGAGGGCAGCAGGCTGGTGAGCTCAGCTGGAGATGGAAAAGGAATCTTAATTACACGTGGCCGAATTCTCTTCTGGGCTGGAAAAACAGTTTGCAGGGGGTAGAGCAAAGTTCACTTGCTGGCATAGAGAGATCTGGAAGCTGGAGTCAGCATATTACTAATGAAGCCTAGTGTTGTCCACTCTGGGGTTTTTAAAATGCCCTAAACAGATTTGTTCTGTTTAATATTAATCCCTAGAGTTGTAACACCTCTGGAATCCCCTCCCACAGTACATTAGGGCCCTGGTGCTCTGCAGAACCCAAAGGGGAAAGGTGGAAAAGGAGAGATTCTCCTTCCCTTTGTCCTCTGCCTCTTTTTATGATACTTGCTTGCTTGTTTTTGTTCTTTTTCTTTTTTTTTTTTTTTCAATCCTTATAATGGGAGGAACTGCCTTTCCCCTGACATCCTCCCACCCCCATCTAGAACCTGCATCTCAGCCTCTAGGGGTAGAAAGTCCCAGCAGGGCCATGGCAGGCTACCCCACTGCACTGTATTAGTTGGAGTATTGCTTTGCTGAGCCTTGATGGGCCTCAGCTGGTGGCCACTTCCTCCCCGGAAAGCCATAAGGCAGTAAATGAAAGCCCCCGCCGGAATAAACTCAAGCTTCTTCTTCCTCTCTCTCTGTCTTTGCCCTCTCCGTTCCCTCTCTCTTGTCCCTGTGTTCACCCTCGTTGTCCTCTGCCGTCCCTTCTCTTTCTCCGGCTGTCTGGCTTCCCTTCCATCCCCTTCGTTGCAGGGCCCGGGCGGCCATCCACCAAGCACAGCCCTCACATCGCGGCCGCCAGGAAGATCTATATCCAGACTCGGCGACAGAGGAAGCTGCACTTTGTTGTTGGGGGGTTCGCCTACCTGCTCCCCAAGACGGCGGTGGTGCTGCGCTGCCCCACGCGGCGCTTCCGCAAGCCCCTGATCACATGGGAGAAGGACGGCCAACACCTCATCAGCTCGGCGCATGTCACCGTGGCCCCCTTCGGCTACCTGAAGATCCACCGCCTCAAGCCCTCGGACGCGGGCATCTACACCTGCTCGGCGGGACCCGCCCGCGAGCAGTTTGTCATTAAGCTCCTCGGAGGCAACCGGAAGCTGGTGGCCCGGCCGCTGAGCCTGCGGGGCGAGGAGGAGGCCCTCGTGGCGAGGAAGGCCGGCCCGAAGGAGGCCCTGCAGACCCACAAACACCAGAACGGCATCTTCTCTAACGGCAGCAAGGCGGAGAAGCGGGGCCCCGCCGGCGACCGGGGGAGCCGCTACGACGACCTTGTCTCCCGGCTGCTGGAGCAGGGGGGCTGGCCTGGGGAGCTCCTCGCCTCGTGGGAGGTGCAGGACTCCACGGAAAGGAACACGTCCTCCGAGGAGGACCAGAACGCAGAGCAGGCCCTCTGGCACCTGCCCTTCACCATGGTGGCCGAGCAGAGGCGCCTGGACGACATCCTCAGGAACCTCTCACAGCAGCCAGAGGAGCTTCGAGACGTCTACAGCAAGCACCTGGTGGCCCAGTTGGCCCAGGAGATCTTCCGCAGCCACATGGAGCACCAGGACGTGCTGCTCAAGCCGTCAGAGCGGCGGATGCCCCCCGTGGCCATCTCCCCTCATAAGCACGTGTCTGGCTTTAGCAGCTCGCTCCGGACCTCGGCCGCCGGGGAGGCCGCGGGTGGCTCTCGCCGGCCCCACCGCAAGCCCACCATCTTGCGGAAGATCTCAGCTGCCCAGCAGCTTTCGGCCTCCGAGGTGGTCACCCACCTCGGGCAGACTGTGGCTCTGGCCAGCGGGACGCTGAGCGTGCTTTTGCACTGTGAGGCCATAGGCAACCCGAGGCCTACCATCAGCTGGGCCAGGAACGGAGAAGAGGTGCAAGGCGGGGGGGGGGGGGCCGGGGGGGAGGGGGGGGGGGGGGGGGGGGGCGGCTGTTGGTAAGGAGCCACATCTCGTCTAAGGTACTTGATTCACTCTTCCTCCAAGGTGGTTCCAAGGGTAGGGCTGAGGGCCCTGGGCCTCAGGAATGGCATCCTGGGTTTCAAGTCCTCTTTTAGTACCAATAGGACTGCTGGAGCAGAAGGTATTTAATTTCTCTAAACACTATGCTGTCCTCTTTATAAGGTAATAGCAACAATGCCTGTCCACCCCATCCCCATAGAGTCCCAGAGATTAATGAGATACTTTCCAGATAGCTTTGAACTTTTGGCAGAAAGCTACTACTCCAGGCCAAAGCACTATTACGTTACCTCTCTGTGAGCTGGAATCACTGAAAAGCTTATACATCAGAATACTGTCTCCATGTGTGTGGTCCCCCAGGGCTAGGGAGAGAGGACAGCCGGCACCTGCTGCTCTCCGTGGGTGAGCCCATCCTCTGTCTGGGCCGGACAAAGCTATTTGTTCCAGAAAGCTTTTATTCCCAGTCAGACCTGTGATTAATTATCCTAATATCTCATGGTGTCTCTGTGCGGGTGTATCATTACCCGGATGACAGCACGTATTACTTACTGGTTTCCTTGGGCCACAGCCATTCGTAATGTAAAATCAATGGTGGTGGTAGAAGTTATAATGATAATATTTTTGAACACTGTGTGCCAGGAACTGTGCTATAATTCCTGCATCCATTCTCTTCTAGTCTTTATAGTGGCCCTGACAACAGTGATAGCTAGCATTAATTGAGTCATGACTGTCCACCAGGCAAATATGGTCTTTCTGTGTTTATTTCACCAAATTCTAACAGTGGCCCCAAGAAGCGGGTATAGTCTTTAGCTGCACTTCACAGAAGAGTAAACAAAGCCTGGGAACTTGCTGAAGATCTTATTTGTTAGCTGGCAGAGCCAAGGCAGGTGACACAAATACGATGGACAGTCAGTAGAAGAATCTTATACTCTGAGTGAGAGAGGGCTCCTTAAGATCCTCTGGTCCAGGGTCCTCATTTTAAGTTGTTATCTGCTTGGAATCCATGGAGAATGCTCTTTTCATTAAACGTAATCCTAAATACTGTTATTCGGCCGTCCTCATCCCTAGTTTGCTGGTTTTGGGTAAGGAAAGAAAGATGCCCAGGTGTATCGTGCCAGGCAGTTTGCCAGGTTTTTTCTACGTAAGTGCCCTTGTTATTCTAACAGTCAGTCTCCAAGATTGACCTTGTCCTCCAGGGTCACACAGAAAAGCAAGGGTTAGCAGCTCACCCGAGAAGATCATACTTTAGCAAGAGTCAGACCAAGGATTCAATATCAAGTTTGAGTCCAAAGAGTACACATTTCTGTGTGCTCTTCTGAGACCCAGTGAACAAATGTGATTTTGTCAAGCCTGCCCACATCTTTGGTGCCTTTTGAAATGTCAGTAATGTTGCCTTTCAGCCTTAATACTTATAGACCAAATAACTTTAATACCGACAATACTAAGTATTTTTCCTGTGTCCTCCTACTTTGTGTCACTGTCATTAGTGCTTTAAGGGCATTATCTTATTTAATCTTCAGAAATAACCATATGGAGTAAGTACTGTGGTATTTACCAATAGGAAGTTGAGGCACAGATGTGGGGCCCACAGAAGCTCTGGAGATAAGGTCTGAATGCAGGATTCGTGTGCCAGGTGGTTTGAACGCACACCTTGAGATCTTCTCTTCCTGTGGGCTCCTTCGTCCTCCCCAGCTTATACTTTCCTTGATCAGCTTAATTGCTAGGATTCCCGCAGGTCTTTCTAGAAATCTTTACAACACATTTTGGGGTCAAGCTGAGGTTAGAGTAAATCCCCTTAGGTCACTGAGTCAATGAGAGGTAGCGCCAGAGGATGTTGGAAGCAGGCTAAGAGTGGTGCCCTTGTGCTTGAGTGGGTGGCCCACTGGACCTCTGTTAATGCACCTGTCATACCTACTCTGACCAAATCATGTCGTCATCTCCATCAGCCAGTCAGCTTCTCAAGTGTAGGAGCCATTTATTCATATTTCCTTGGCCTTGTGCCCAAGATTGCACTCCTGGGGTTGAGGGAGAAACAGTTGATTGTGCACAGGAGAAGATGGAAATTACCATTTCTTGACTAGCAACAGACCTAGTGCTCCGTGCTAGCAACTTTTTCATAGCCACCATCTTGGTTAACAACCACCACAGAGGGTAACACAGGAGCTCTTATCTCTATTTCAGAGCTAGAAAACCGTGGCCCAAAGTAGTTTAGGAGCTTGACGATGTTAGCTAGCTGGCAACAGGCAGAATCAAGAGGGCAGATTGGAACCCAGTTCTGCCCACCTCAAGCCCATGCTGTTTTGAGTGAATGGGTGAGTTCATACTTCCATACATCTGTACTTCACTAGGGATGCCAAGTTGCTAGTGTTTACCAGCTATTTCCAGGGTCACTTCCTTCCTCCTAAAAGCTGTAGACAAGGCAGGCTGTTGGGAAGGGGAGTAGGGGTCACCAGGACTCTGCTGTACCTGGAACTTCAGGGAGAACATTTGAGTCCGTGGCTTACTCAGAGGTCTGACCATTTCCTTGAGTGCTGGAGATACTTTGTATGAAGTCCAAGGGTTCCAGCCCATCTGGGTCCCCTGGTGACTAAAGATAGGATGCAGACGGAGTCAGATGAGGACTTAGGGCTTCAGGCTGATCTTGCCAAAACCCTTTACTTTGTATGGCCTTAGTCCCTTCATCTTAAAAAGCAGGTGGATGGGGTTGTACCAATTCGCCTCTAAGGTCCCTTCTACCTCCTTCACTCCTTTGCAAAAGGCCAGAGAAGAAAAAGAAACCCGTATGCTGCTGGGGAGTGGGGAGAGCCTTGAGGCCAATAACTTCAAACTGTTGCACAAGCTCTTTCTCGGTGCTCCACAAAACGGGGGTTCACTGATCGCATGAGTTAGGGACATGTTCACTTAAAGCTGAACAGATGTATTTACTGCTGGATTTCACTGTATTTTTTTTAATATAGTGCTTGATATTTTTTCTCTTTTTTATTATAAAAGCAATAAAGAGACCATAAAACAATTCAAATAATACCTAAATCTATAAAGGACAAATGCAAGTCTCCCTCTTCCTCCCACATCTATTCCCCAGAGTCTGCCTCTCTTAATAATTTGGTATACATCCTTCTGGAATTTTTATATATTTTATTGTATTATATATAAAACACATATACACACATATGATTCAGTTTTGTAATGGGATATTACTCGTGTTTAGAAATTTCATGTGGATTTCACTCAATAGGTCTAGGAGACATTGCATTATAGCATGTAGAGATCTGCTTCACCATTTTTAATGGCTGATTACTGTTTCTGAGTGCATTTAACTATCCCCCAATTGAAAATTATTTGGGTTTTTCCATTTTTTTTAAACTCCTTTAAGCATTCCAACATGTGTTGTGACTTTCCAAGTGAACAATATAGGATGCATTATTTTCCAAGCAGTTCTTTAATCATTGAACAATTTTTCGCTCTCACTATTTCAGGGATACCAAGAGTTCTTGAAATACCACTTAGGAAATATTACTTTCACCTTTTAGGTTTCACCTCCCTGGGTGCTGAGGGTCAGAGCCCTGTAATGCACCCTTTGCAAGCACCACAAATGACTAAGATGAAGAGGGTTCCATGGAATTGTGCTAGAAAAAAGACACATGGCAGCCAGGTGCTTTTAAAGATACTGAAGGTGCTAGACTAGGACAGCGGAAGGCTAATCCTGGCTCTTCGGTCACCAGGATGTTGGTGGGAGCATGGGTGAGGAGTAGCATTAAGAGGGAGAGCACGTGAGGGGCATGGGCAAACAGTTTTACAGTTTTGGCCACTCTCGAGATTTTTCTCGATCTCGCCTTGACACAGCTTTCCAGTGCAAGTCAATGGCACACAGTAAGGAAAAATAAGAGCTTTTGGATACTGATCTCCAACTCCTAATTTCTCCATTTAACTTAGCTGTCCAAAAAGAAATAGGACTGGCATTTCATTTTCAATAGGGTTTTCCAAGTCCTGTTTGAGAAAAGAAAGTGAATATATCTCCACAGAGCACATAAGAGAAACAGAGCTGCCATTGGGACTGCTTTGCTATGGGCTGTTGGTGACCCTTCTGTGTTGGGTTTCATTGCTTGTCATCATCCCTGTGTCCAGTAGCAGTTCAGAAATGCTCATTTATTTTCACACAGAGACGTGCTGAAATGCCTGGTGTTCTAGTTCAGTTAGTCTGTTTTTGCTTTAGTACCAAATCCATCTTTCTGAAAGAATCTGCAAGATTCAGCTGGCTGTTGGTGTGTGGGACTTTGCAGCATATTCAAGTGTACTCTTTGTAGCCTGAGCCAGCAAGATAGGTCGAGAGAGGAAGACAGTAACAGAGGAGAAGTCTACTCCTCCTTTGGCTTTGAAATATGCCAAAGTTTTATCTGCAAGAAATTGCTTCTATGAAAGAATCGTTATCAAGTCGGTTACTACTGTATCTCATCATATATATATATATATATATATATATATAATTTACTAGTTGAAATGAATTCACATGATTCTTAGAAGCCTATGCCAACTTCTCAAGCAATAGTTTACTGGATGTTTCTGAATGTATTAGAACAAACTAGTTCATCATAATCGCCGCTTCTCCTTTATTTCACAAACATTCCCATGCATCCTCAGAGCCAGACCCTATATTAGATACTGGGGATGGAGGAAAGGAAGGCTCATTCCCTGTCAGTGAAACTCAGTCTTGTTTGCAAGCCAGAGAAGTAAATGCAGTGTAGAAGTACTAAAAGATGAGTAAGGATATTTATTCAACCCATAAGAATTTATCAGCCTATGTATTATATCACATACACACACACACACACCTCTAGTCACTGGGAATATTGTAAATGAAAAGTCTGTATTCCCCTGCAGTTTAGATCCATTTAGATTTCTGCTCAAATTTCGGCCAC